TAAAATTTACGCGCGCCCGACTTGCCCGACCGGAGGAAACACTTACGTGTCCCTTGTTGCACGAGAACCTTCTCTCCCGTGATTATTCCTCGTAGGAATAATGTTATTATTATCCGGTCGACGCGTACCGCGTAATTACTCCATTTGCAAGAAAATAATGCCGTCGATTATGCACGCTCTTCTCTATTCCTACACGCAAATGTACCTTCGTGTACGCCTATATACGCGCGTGTATATTTTTCTCCCCCTTTTTCCCTTTACCCCCCCTTTTTCCCCCTTCCACCCCGCAAGACAGATGTCACGCTTAATAGACTCGTCGGTTCCACTGGTAAACGGATCAATTATCGGTTAACCGTTCCATTCGTTTCCCTTATCTCCTTTTTTCTCCATTTTCCTCCTTTTTCCTCCTTTTTCCTCCTTCCTCCCTCCTCGTTCCCGGGGCGAAGAGACGGAAGGCACGAAAATGAAAAATGGCCGCGCAGATAGAGGCGTCAAGGTCGCCTCCGCGGAGTCCGCGATCGCTAATCCAATCTTGAAATATGCGAGTCGCTTTTACGGAGCATCGTCCCTCGGAGCAAATAAACCAAGCTAATAACGATCTTCCTTAAACGCGCGACGCGATTTTATGGCGAATCGATTAGACAACGTTCCCCGTTGCCAAGGCTTCTTGCGCGATCGCCAACTATGACTAATAGCTTTCGTTACATTATTTATAGCAATGCGGTGATAGCTTCCCTCGCGATTTATGCACCTACGATCGAGAAACGTCCCTATGGCTCTGGTCATCGATCCGTCCGCCCATCGATCGATCGCCCTGCGACAACTTCTTTCCTTCCACTACCGTCGCGTTGTTCCGCGTTTGTCGCCAAAGAAACCTTCCCGCGCCGTCTTCCGTCGAAAAATTCCTCTCCGCGTTCCAAGGAATTAGCGTCGGACTTCCTAGATCGTTATCCGCGTCGAACGCGAATGAGACAATTAATCGTGCACCGAAATGGCGTCGCACATGGAACGATCGAATCCGATTCCTCCGCGTCGCTCGAAACGATCGCACGCGGTCACAGATGGTCAAACCCGAAGAACGATACCGCGCTCCGACCTTGATAATAATTCCGAAGAATAAGAGGAATGCACGGCGTGGAAGGAGACCTTCCAAGTGCGCGTCAGTGTAGGTCTTCCTCTGCCTCGTCTTTCGTTCCTCCGCATCCTCCTTCTCGCGTCTTTTTCCCGCCACTCGGCGACGATTCTTCGAATTCGAGAAACTGGTCCGGCAACAATTTGTTATCCGACCATCGAAGCTCGCATCGATCGCTAATAACCTTCCATCTCGTTCTTCCTTTTCTTCTTGCGTTACGTGACCGTCGCACCACTGTCGTCGTCGTCGTCGTCGTCGTCGTTCTCATCGTCGTCGGTGGAAAAGCACGCTGGGCGTCGCGAGGAGGAAGTGGCGTTGCACGTGCTCCGACGCTTTCAGGAAACAGGTTACCGGCCGTGTTTTTTAATTATCGTCGGGAGCAAAATCGTCGAAACATGCGCGGGACCGAGAGGAATGCGGACTTATCGAGGCGGACAAACACGATCGCGTTTGCACGAAACAAGGGAGTCGGTATCGTTTCTTCGATTCGACGCTGCACGGAGTAAATTTCTTCCGTACGATCCGTACGATCCGTTCGGACCGCTTCTTCGTCCTGCCGTGACGGATCGCGCGGGATTTTTAAACGGAGACGTGCGGACGACGATCCCGCGTCGCTTAATTAATTTCCCTGCCGGCGTTTTATTTTCTCTACGAACACCAACGTCGCTCGCGAATGACACAATTTATAGCAAAGTAAATTCTCTACGGTCGCGCAGCGATTTGCTCGTTTTGCCCGGTGTCACGTCGCGCCTGCTCGTCTTTAAACGGTCCGCCATACTGTCCCTTATATTATCGCGTTTATCGCCCATCAAATCGTCTTTCATCCACCACGCTTGGACGGGAGAAAAAATAAAAGGAAGGAAAAAGAAAGGAAGCAGAGGGAAAGGAAGAGGAGAAAAATTCCGACTGATCCGGCTCGCGAGATTACTACTCCCATCGCGCGGCGTGCAAGCAACTTTGTGTAAATCTCTTCGCACGAGGCTGTCAATTATCGTCGTTGGGTTACCCTGATCCGGCGTATTAGCGTCGTTGTCGTTGTCCAAGCGTGTCGTTCCTTCCATCGCGAATATCGTCCGAGATGTAACATCGAGACGCAGAGAGATCGGCCGGCAACTTTGTTTCGACCGGTTGGAAAATTCGAATCACCTTCGATAAATATCCCTGCGGAATCACTCGCATTCGAGACATCGCTTATATCCTCGCGCGTACCCGAGGATCGCGTACACCCGCGCGACTCCTCTTCGTCTTCTTCGATGGCCCGTCGGCCATCTTTATTCCCGCGCTTGGAGCATCGAGCAACGTCAGAATTTTACGCGAAAACCATCGATGAGAGCGCAAGATCGTTTATCATCCGCGAAGCATCGCACTCGGCTGCGTACGGCTATAATATTCCACCCGGCCAGGGAAACCGTTAGCGTTTTACGCTTTTAATTGCCTGCGCACGCTGATTCGCCGTTTTAATACCGCCGACTATTTCCGCGGCCTGTGCAACTCGGCGTGCACGAACAACGCCGGCCAACGAATTATTCCTTCGCAAAAGTATACCTCGAGACGCCTCTTTAGAAAGCTCGCTTCTCTCTCGCGTCCTCTCTCCGCGATATAACCGAATCAATTAGATCTGCAAGTATTTGTACGCGTCCCGGAGGCTTCACCTTTCACGAAATTATCCTGCAGCCCCTTCGGGGCAAAGCACATATTACCGGCGCACGACGAGTGCACCTCGTAAATCACTCGTCGTTCTGCAACACGCCGAGCCAGAAAAGAGAAACAATGAGCGCTCGCTTGCTCGGCCGCGTATATCCGCGCGCAGGTGCGTAGCAAGCGGAGGGCACCGTGCACCAGCTTTCTCCGTTTAATTCGCCATTTTAAATCCCATCCGATCCAGTCACCGACCAGGCACACTCTCCGTCCAGTCACCCAGGGGGTGGCTGTCTTCGCCACCCTCTGCTCGCTGAATCCGCGATCCGGATCGCGCTATAAATACTCGAAAGCGATTTTACGATGGAAGAAACTCGTAGCGCCGTCGTGTGGAGTATCGGCGGCTCCATTTTGTCGTAGCGGTAGGTGGTCGGACACGTGTATCGAGCACGCAAAGTGTAGGCCTGCATTTGCACCCGGCGGATCGGTGGCCGAGCGAGTAACCGAGCGAGCGAGCGAGCAAAGCGGCAAGGAACGTGACGCGGCACGGGGAGCTGATATGAACGGGTACCGGAGTGCCAGGGACACCCACGTGTGACAAGGCATCGCATAATCTACCGGACATTTAGCGTAGGCAGGGATACTAGCCGCGGTGGCTGCAGGTGCTTCGATGGGCAGGTGAAATTTCATAGCGAATAACGCGATTAATCGCGCACCGATCGCGGATTCTGACGTTCGCGGAAAAGTTTCCATTACGCGCACGCGCGGGAAAGCATGGAAAATCGAGATGACTGGAAACGACGAGAAAGCACCGCGTGAAAGACGTTGTCGGAGAATCCGCGAGTCATCATGAGCCGCGCAGAGTCGAGGTAGCGGAATGGCGGTAGCGGTAGTGGAGATAGGGGCAAACAAGGCGGCGCGAATTTCAAAAGTAACGACGATGCCGCGATGGCGATATTAGGGAGAAACGATGTTGCTCGTTAAGTATTCACGACAAAACTACATTTACCGCGGCTGATCGTCGTGCAACAAACATTAGGTACGCGAAGGTACTCTCGGGTAGCTGCGTGACTTACAAGCCTCGAGTCTATATTTCAACGGGCGTTAAAGTCGAGGTCGATTCCATCGCAGCGAGACGCTGTTCGAAGCTCCGATCATTACACCCGTTATAAGCTGTCACATAGCTCATCTCACACACGCCGCGGCCCTCACACCGATACCCGTTCGGTACTTTGGCATTTTTCCTATTTTGTAATCAGCCCCGCATCCACGCGGCTAACTTACGCGCCGAGCTTTCGATCCTTCTTAAAACGTTCACGCACGGAACCATCATCGGCCACGCTATGCGCGCGGTCAAGATCGCCTTCTCGCTCGTAATTATCCTTCGGATACGTACATACGCGATACCGGAGACTCGATAACTCGACGATCGCTCCCCCCCACCGATCTCGAACGCGATTTTCCTCAATGGCGCGACTCCGCTCTACGTAGCGTCGCGTCGAAACGGAGAGACCAGGTGGTGTACACGCGCGAGTACGATTGATCGACAGGTGATCGAGGAAGCGATCGCTTTGCCCGTTCGCGGACGCTCGCGGCAGGCACTCGAAAGGTTAACCAAAGATGATGTTCCCGTGCACGTGGTTGCGTCACCGTGCTACAAGGTAGAACTTTCACCGTGCTGGAACACGAGTACGACGTTTCGTCGGACGGAGGAAGAAGAGGCTCGTCTCGTTATCGGCTCCGAGATCGTTAAGGTCAATTACCATGGTCGATTTCTTGGACGCGAGGAAAACGCCCTCGACGTAATTCGTGAAACAGGGTGAGGGCAAACGCTGGTCCTTTTCGCTACGAATGAGCGTAATTAGAATTAACGACCGCGCGATTAATTAGACACGTATCCACGAGGGAATTCGCTTGAAATATTCTCGACATACATCAGTACCGTAGCTACAACGTGGTACGTAAAGCCGCGGATACTTTAGCGCCCCGTAGATTAGCGCTAAACGCGAAAATCGTGTTGCCGGCCGAGCTAACTAACTACCGTATATTTCATCCTGCAGCCAGAATCCTGTTAATATCCGTATCGATCGAGCCGTGGTATTTTGACAGATCTATATCCCGGCGTTTGCTCCAGGTGTTGTTCGTCCGTGGCTCGCTTAATCGCCGGGATAATTCGATCGCTTACGAGCTAACGTCGTGTCTCTATTTCGCGTAGCTATTAATAACTCACCGGTAGAAGAAGTAACGAGGATGGAGAATGCCTGGCCGCAGCTTGCCTAAGACCAAGGAAGTGCAGTAGGGGGTCCTCCGATGCCCTCAGCTCGTCCAGAATCCTCTTCGCCTCCTGATAGCTCTCCAGGTATTCCCAGTAAGAGTTCCAAAACGAGCCAGGGAATAAGTCACCTGGCGACAGGGTACCAGAAGGTAATTAGAAACCGTATCGAACTATCCGCGTTATAAATCCTCTCGTCACCTTCGATCCTCACCGGGGACCGAACAATCGCGCGCGCGTTCACCCATATTCGGCCACGCTCGATACACCACGATCCAGAGTTAATTATCGAACCGACCGACCGCGACTCGCGCATACGAGAGGTATGCAAAATTTACCCGCGATGACGGAACAGCCGTGAACGCGAACTCTCGTCCGAAATCGTCTTCGAGGAGATTCGATCCAGCGATACATCATCCCGCTATCTTCCCTACGAAACTCGTTTCTGTTTCAGGATCTCTCTTTTTCTCTCTTTCCCACTCTTCCACCTCTGGTGGGGTCTTCGCCATCGCGGAAGAGAGCCTTCCACTCGCGCACCGGGAATATGATTTACCATCGAATCCTTCCTTTTTCCCCCCCACCTCCGCCATTATCCGACCAGTCCCGTAGTCTTCCGTAGACTTCCTCTCGCAGCGAACCACGAAATTCGCTATCGATCGCGGAACCACTCTCCTCACCTCGATCGACGTCGCGCGATCGTGCCTTCGTTGGCGAGGACTCGCCAACAGCCACGTATGGAACCCGGTGATTCGCGTATCGCGGTGAAACTAAGCACCGATGATCGATCGTCTTCTCGTCACCGTTCCTCGCTTAAAGGGAAATCTCGACTTCTCGGGAAAAGTATACTCACTCGATTTGAAGGTACCGCCGTCCCAATTCTCGAGCGCAGCGCGGATCTGAAAGAAGAAAAGCAAAACGGTTAGAATCGGCTGTTAAAATACAACGAGGAAATAGGTGGGGCGAGAAGGCGTGCAGGGGGCCATGTATAATACATGAAGTATAACGTGCACGAATGAGCTCGTGGAGCGCGAAATGCCAGTTTTATACAACGGTCGAGTCGGAACCGATCATTTGATTACTTTTTTATATCCTCCATTACGATTCGACGCCGATACCTCGACGGACGATCGATCTTCCTCGAAAGAAGGGGACGCGAGGTCTGGCGTGAAAAACTCGTAGGAAATGGCGATTTAGACGGGACGGGGAGAGAATTTTGCAGCTAACCTCGAAGAGCGCGCGCAATTAGATTCCGATCGATACTAATGCACACGCTCGCGGAGCAGGTGAAAACGATTTTTCGAGTTTACTACCTATGGCGCGACTCGGCTGGAACATCGCGAGGCTAAATCACGTCCTCGAAACGAGCCTGTCCGTTGAATTATAACGCGGCATTATGTCCAATCAGGACATCATCGGGGGGAGCATAACCGAGGCGAATAAGCTCGGTAGTCCTTAAGGCTGTTTCTATCAGTGGGCATTAAAGCGTCAGCCAGGACGGCTGGCGAAATCCTGCTGGAATAATAGGCGAGAAGGAAAAAGGAACGAGGCGAGCGATCGAACACGATGCCGTGGAACGAAGCTTCGGATGGAACGATCGTTTCGTCGAATCGCGGTAATCGTTACCGGCGATATCGGTTTAGTCGAGCCAACTATCGATCGGGATCGATTTTTCTATCTCGCGTAGAGGCTGCGAGATCCTCTTCGGGAACCCCGCGTCCCGATTCCTTGTGCACCTCGTGGACCGATCGTACGAGCAGATACGCGGGCCTCGTAAAGGTTGCAGCGACACCCACTTAACTCTTTAACGAGTAACATTGTCACGAGGGAATCCACTTATCGGATACGTTTCCATTACGGTAGGCGAAGGCAGCGGCGACGGGCCGACAGGCTGTATAAGTGGCGAGATGCTTGTAAAGCGGCAACAGTATCGACGTTACGTTAATCGGCGCGTTAATGGTTAATTTCAACGGGGCCGTAAAATCGGGAGAAAGTCGCGTAAATAAAAAGCGAGACAGGTGGTAGCCGCGGGGCGCGCGTGTGGTATTTGCATTTCTTTATACGGCCGGTCCGTGCAACGAATAAAATTATTTACCGCTTCTTTCGGATCACGCTGCGCCGGATGCCGATTATCGACCATGCACGGTTAATTGCCCCGCGACTACAAATACGCATCCATCGCGGATAAATTGTAAGAAAATTTCTCGCCCTGTGCGCAACGATTCGCTGCTAACGAGCCATTCGTTGCGCTTTAATTACCGCGTTTCGCGTACACCGTCGCGCCATCTAGCAGTGTTCCGCGTTTATTACCGATTTTAGGAACAAACGGCCACGGCCAACGCGCTCGCACGTGCTCAGAGAAAATGGAGGAGGAGGAGGAGAAGAAGAAGAAGGAGATGAGAATCGAACGGGAAGCTAGTTTAGAAGACCGGTCGTCAACCTCTTCTTATCCGTAGCTCTTAGGAAGACGGCCTAGGAAACCGATGGCCCTCTGAGTCATAAAGTACGCGATAAGACATCTAAAATGGGGCGAGTGGCTGCTTCCTATCGCGTCAAGGCGTCGAAAATATCTTCCACTTTTACCAATGTTCCTCGATTAATTCCCGAAATCTCCGAGGTTCGGTTGGGAAGAAAGGGGTGAAGGGGTACAATGGGAAATTTCGTGGAAAAACTGGCCAAAGGAGCAAAATTCCGATGACGCCTTCTTTACCATTTGCCATTTGCACGGAATAGATGACAAAATCGCCGCGCACAATTTATAAATTGTTTAGCAGGAATTGCAGTATGAAAATTTAAAAAAAATAATATAAATGCATCACGGAAGTTTATATTCTAAAAGCATAAACATAGGTATAATTTGTAAAAATATACTTTTAATTGTATAAGCTATCATATTTATTTTTAATAACAAATTGTATGCAACATAAATTTATAATAAAAGTGAAAAAATTAATAAATTATTTGCTATTACTTGAACTTACAACGTTTTTGTGTCAAAATGTACCAACAACTTGTAAAAAATTTATAAATTATCGCACCTATTGTTAATAACAAATTAATATTGCTATTAACAAATTGTTCGCAACGTATATTTATAGTAAAAGTGAAAAAATTAATAAATTATTGGCTACGAGAGTGGAAAATTAATAATAAATAAAATCCGCGAAGTTCAAAAATTTCTGATCGGGGTGGGG